AAGTCATCCCAGCAATCAACAATGAAATACTGTATATGGACACCACTAATTAAAATAAGGACCTTATTAATAGCAGTAAGGAGACATGAAATGGGAGCAAGATAGGATGGGGGGCATTAGGGAGAGCTGGAGGGAGGTAATGGTGGATATATATGATCAAAATATGTTGTAGAAAATGTATGAAATTGTCAAAGAATAAACAAAACTATTACCTAAAACAACTAGCAATAAAAGTGAGTTTAGCAAGCTCTCAGAATAGTATCAGTATGGGAAACAAGCAGGTGTATATCCATGTTCTGGTAGCAGATAACTGAAAGTGAAGTTAATAAATAAAATGTTTCATGGCTGGAAAGATGACTCATTGGCTGAGAGTGCTTGCTGCTCTTCTGAGGATTTGAATTCAGTACCCAGCTCCAGATCCAGGGATAATCTAACTCTTCTGGCCCCACAGACACTCTTGCAATGCCCTCCAATAATTAAATAATTAAAATCAAATCTTTTTTAAAGGAATAGAATGATTCAATAATAATGGGAGGAGCACAAAACACAAATGACTTTTGATTTTTCAACAACTGGAAAATATTGATGAAATAAAAGAACAACAGATGTCTGATGACTTAACTTGGTCTAGATGCCCAAGACCCTGGGTTCTATCCCCAACTCTGAGAAGAAGAAATAAAGAGATGACCCTGTTTGCAGATAGGGTAACTCAATATCAATAAAATGCCAGTTCTCCCCAAGATAATCTTTAGAGTCAGCACAATCCTACTCAAATTTAACAGAAATTTACAAAAAAAATATTGACAGGCTGACTGTGAAGTTTGTATAAAATTCAAAGTAGTTAAAAATAACCAAAGGGATGTTGCAAAGGAAAACAACATGTATGAAAATGCTATAATTAAACATACTGCTTTGTATACTAAGTTAAAAGATAAAATAAAGTTGAATGACTCTGATTGTGTGGTTTTAAGATAATCTTGTTATCTAATGACCAGTAATAGCAAAAAGAGAGAGAGAAAGAGAGCCCTAGTATAATCAGTTGACTTATTTTTTAAGACAGGGTCTCACTCTATAGCCGGCCTGAGACTTGCTATGTAGACCAGACTGATAGAGGTCTGATAGAGATCCACTGCCTCTGCCTCCTCCTGAGTGTTAGGGATTAAAGGTGTGTACCGCCATGCCTGGCCTGGCCAGCTGATTTTTTTTTACAAAAGAGAAAGCAATTCAGTTGAAATAAAAGTAACTCTTCTGGACATCTCCTGCTCACACAGCCAGAAATATATGTGGGAAGATGAGCCTTGACCCTTCCCTCACATCCCAGGCAAAAATGAGTTTGAAACAAAGTATAGTGCACCAAGACTGGAATAAATGCACAGTCATGCAGAAGAATTAAATTATGAGTACAAGCAACAACTGGGATATGGCCAGGGGAATTTCAAACTCCAAGGGCATAAGACCAGAGGAGCAAGCTGGTCCCCAAAGATTACATATATGTATGATATTGTTTACATAATTTTATATAACGTTTTCTAATGACAAAAGTTTAGATACAGAGGAGAGAATAGCAGTTGCTGGAGGTTGAGGGTAGGACTGAAGAGACCCAGAATGGAAGGTGGGCGTGGCTAAGGGTAGAGCTGGGGAGACACCCAAGACGAAGGTAGGTGTGGCTATAAACAGCAAGAAGACAGTGCTCATTTGTTCAGAATGCTGAATGCCAGTGAATACACCAACTTGTGCAAGTGATAAGATGCTTTATCAAACACACACACACACACAACCACACGAGGACAGCAACTAGCACTGGGGCCATCTGAGATGAGTGAATTGTGCCACCATCACTAACTTGTTTGTGATACTGTACTAAAATTTTTTTAAATATTAGCATTGAGAGAAACTGGACAGAGCACACAAAGGATTTCTCTGTGCTATTTGCTACAACTGTAGTAAGAAACAATTATCAGAGTAAAACCTTCAACTAAAGCCTGAAATGAAGTTGCGAAGAATCCTGTGCACTTAGAATGGCGGCTCCTTGGTAGGTTCAGCCAGCCTGAGCAACCGTGGAAGACTGGGAGGACAGGGAAACGTAAGCCTAAACGTAGAGGCAACTTGTCCCTCCAGCTATGTGTGTGTGTGTGTGTGTGTGTGTATGTGTGTGTGTGTGTGTGTGTGTGTCTGAGTGTATGGATATGCCCCACATGTGTACAGGAGCTATGACAAGAAGAGGCTATGGGATCCCCTAAAAGTAGAGTTACAGGCAATTGGGAACAACCATATGAGTGCCAGAACTGAACTCAGGTCCTCTGCGAGAACAGTAAGGGTTCTGAAACCCTGAGTCATCCCTCCAGTCTTTAGAGGCCGTTAGGAGTAACTTTGTAATACCTATTTTCATTACATTTTTCTTTCTTTCTTTTTTCTTTTTTTCTTTTTTGGTTTTACTAGACAGGGTTTCTCTGTATTGTTATGGAGGCTGTCGGTCCAGCCTGGCCTCGAACTCACAGAGATCCGCCTGTCTCTGCCTCCCGAGTGCTGGGATTAAAGGCATGCGCCACCACTGCCCGGCTTACATTTTTCTTATAATTCCAATAATTAGCGCTTTTTTTTAACTCCTAGAAAGCAATACTAGCAACAGCTTCATGACCTGTGGGTAGGCACAGGAACATTGTTGTGGGATGTTTGACTGCACTGTGAAACCTGAGACTGTGTTAAAACCAACCTTGGAGCAGTGGGCACAGCCAGCCACTCGTTACAGGAAGTAGCCATAGAGAGAGAGAGTACAGAGAAGCCAGGAAGCCAAATACAGAGATACACAAGGAGGAGTAGGGGGAGGGGGGACTTGGAAACTCAAGGTCTTTTTTGGTTTGGGATAGGTGGAGAGAAGCTCTCTTGCTGGGTCTCTGGCCAAAAAGGAAGGTCAGCTGGTTGCTTTTCAGTCTCTCTGGGCTAGCAGGTTTTCACGCCAACATCTGACTCCTGGGTCTTTATTTGTAAATAAAATGACAGAGACTTAGTTAAAAACCACATTTGGGGGTTCAGAGGTTAAGGGCACTTGCTGTTCTTCCAAAGGTCCTGAGTTCAATTCCTAGCAACCACGTGGTGGCTCACAACCATCTGTAATGAGATCTGGTGCCCTCTTCTGGCCTGCAGGCATTCATGAAGGCAGAGCACTATGCATAATTAATAAATAAATCTTTTTTTAAAAAACCCACACATTTGGTGGCAGCAGCTGAGTGCCAGCAGGACCAGAAATCCCATCAGGCCACAGCCTGAGTGGTAGAACTCTGACTGTAGGGCCGTGAGCCTGCAGAAGGTAGTTTAAATATCATCAGTAGATTCAGGTGCAGCTGCTAAGCAAAAGGGTAAACAGCAGAATACGGCATACAATTTTAGTAAATTGAAGTTCATCAAGCTATGGTGGTCCATACCTATAATCCAAGCACCATGGAGAATCACAAATTAAGGCCAGCCTAGGTGAAATAATGAAAGAAAAGAGTGCCACCCACCTCTTCCAATTTGGCTGAGGGGTGGTCACTGTGGTCTTTACCTGGAACTGATACCCATTACCGTTCCACACTGTGAAAGAGGACATGACTCCACAGCCACGCAACACTGGTGTTAGTGTCCAGAGACGCCAAAAGGCATCATCTTTCTCTACAACATTTCTGGATGGCAAGAATTATATTTCTCATTAGAAATGAGAAGCATAGGCTTGGGGTGGAGAGCAGATGTGGAATTCAGTTTTCAGTTCTGTTTTTGCGGTTCTATTTCCTTATCGTTTAAGATGGGAAACTGGAAGATGACACACGGCCCAATTTAGCAGATGATTCGTCCTTCGTTCCACACAGTTCCAGCAGCTCCAGGTCTGGCGGATGAAGATGCGCCTGCTCATTTGGGTCTCATAAGGGTTCCTTTGAGCAAGTCACCACCTTGTGGCGAAGAACGTCACTTGCAGGAGAGAGCTAATCTTTCAGACCAAAACATCCCACATTTTTGCATTAAAACAAAGCAAAATAATAAGCTCATTCCTTAGCGTAAGTCTAATTAAAAAGTATGTTTTCCAGGGTTTTGCTCACTCACTAATATTATCAAATATAAAAAGACCAAGTTCCAGGACTAGAGAGATAGTTTGGTGGTTAAGAGGGCCTGCTCTTCAGAGGACCCAGGGTTTGGATTCAACTCCAGCATCCACATGATGGGTTAAAACCATCTGTAACTCCAGTTCTAGAAGATCTGGTGATATGACACCCTCTTCTAACCTCCTGGGCACCAGACACAGACGCATTTGCAGGCAAAACACTTATACATATAAAAATAAATACCTCTCTCCCCAGTCCTTTAAATAACGGCATAAAAAATAGGGTAGCCCACGGTGATGTATTTAGGGGGGAAATGGTGGTTCAAGCAGTACACTTAAATTCTTATTTTTAGATTTATTTGTTTTATTTTATGCGTGTCTTTTCCCTGGAACATGCAAGTGCCCCCGCGTGTGGTGCCGGGAGAACGAGGAAGTCAGAAGCAGCTTAGGATCTCCTGAAACTAGAGCTACAGGCAGTTGTGAGCCACCTTGTGGGTGCTGGAAATCGAACCTGGGACCTTTGGGAGACCAATACCGGCTCTTAATGTCTGAGTCACCTCTTCAGGCACACTACGCCATCTTTTTTTGTAATGATATAAATCAGACTTTTGATATGCTTGGATTAATACCCACAATTTGAACCTGTTGGGGATATGTAAACTTGACTTCCATAGTTAACTTTGAATTCACAATTATTTGCAGACTTAAAGATGACTCTCATATTCCTGAAAAGCCATCTCCGGCGTGGCACTCCCTCAAGGATGTTATGGATGGATGCAAAACTGTACAACTCTTGGCAGGAGAGTAAGATGGAGGCGGGAGTCAGCCCGCACAGAGCACAGAAGGGTGGGATCTTTACCTTAGTGCCTCTAGAACCTGACATTCCCTCCAGCCAATGAGAGCTCGCCACTGGTAGCCGTGGGCTGGGTGCTGGGTTGCTAAGACAACCATTGCCAAGACGCTGAGAGTCAAGTTGGAGACTTCTTCGCCTTGTCCAGCCCCGGTATCTGGTATGTACACTGTTTGCAGTAGCTCATTGGGGACTTGTAGGGACAACGGGACCCTCTTCATCGACTCTAATTCTTCAGTGGACACTGTAATGTGACAAACCGCTGGTGCTGCCTGCGGATGCCCTTGGGCTCCTGAGTGAAGAGGCTTTGTAGACAACCCCCTCCCCACAGCCTGGCCATCCCCTGGGCCCCCCGGGAGGAGGAAGGGAAAAGCGAGGGAGGGCCAGAGTACGTCTGTCTGTGTCTCTGTGCATTTTGCATCAGTACATTGATTTATTGGCTCTTTAAAAGAGGCTCTAGGCTTGTTCGTTTGGCAGAGGTTGGAACAGAGTTTGTTTTCTTTGCAGAGCCATGGGTAGCAAGAAGAAGGAAATGGCCCTGCAGGTAAGCCTCTAGGGGTTCTGGCTCCCAGCACTTGGCGGGAGAGGGTGGTGTGGGTATGGGGTGCAGTATAAAGATGACTTTCTACTTGCTAGCAGTATGCTGCCGTGTTCTGGAGCCCGAGTGTCCTACCCTTCTTTTTTAAAGCAGAAATAAATATCTGGAGCACCTAGTACGCAACCTTACATATAAATATATACCCAACCAAGGCAGAAACTCTTAATGGGGCTTTGCAACCATAAGATGCAAATGGGCATTCACGTAAAACCACAAATCTGAGAGAAGATGAAACAGCCTAATCCCCAAGCTTATTTTCTGTTGAATAATAATTGCAGAAATGCACAGTGTACATATCTAGATAGACAGACAGACAGACAGATAAGATAGATATTCCTTGGATCTGGGCAAGCATCTGCGATGACCAGTTTCCCTGCACTGTTTTTGTTCAAACAGAAAGGCTTGAGATGTGTTGTGTGATGAGCATTTGCTTTGTAGACTTTCTTCATTTGCACACAGGACAAGTCAGCTCTCTGCTCCTCCTTTCCTTCTCTGCCCTGCCTCATTGTTTTTGAGACAGGGGTCCTTTATTTAGTTCACCTGTGAAGTGAGGCTGTGTAAATATTCCAAAGAGTCATGAGGCCTTGACATCCTAGGACTGGGGTCTTCTGAGAGTCTCAGTCCCTGTTATTGCTGTGTAAACCATTTCCTCAACCTCTTTGAGTCCTGTAGAGAAGCAGGGCAGGTAACACATAAACTGCCAAGTTATGGTGATGAGACTCCAGATGGTTCCAGGCCATCCTGCATGCACTCACAACAGCCCATGTGCTTCTTAGTTCACCTTTGAATGACCTTTATCCCCTGCGTGGGTGGGGGGAAATAACATTTTTTTTTGGTTTTTCGAGACAGGGTTTCTCTGTATTGTTTTGGAGGCTGTCCTGGAACTCACTCAGTAGACCAGGCTGGCCTTGAACTCACAGAGATCCACCTGCCTCTGCCTCCCGAGTGCTGGGATTAAAGGCGTGCGCCACCAACGCCCGGCTGGGAAATAACATTTGTTAGTGGTGTTTTATACTATTCCTCAGAGTTAAGCATGACCCAGTACTCAAAGTACTTCCATCTGCTGAGGGAGGGAGAAGAGGAGGAAGGGAGAGGAAAGGGAGGGAGGGAGGAGAGAGAGAGAGAGAGAGAGAGAGAGAGAGAGAGAGAGAGAGAGAGAGAGAGAGAGAGAGAGAGAGAGAGAGAGAGAGAGAGAGAAAGGGAGAGGGAGATCTTTCTCCACCTACTCGCTGAATGCATTGTCCAAGAGCCCTAAACAATCCAGGAACCCTGTCTTCTCTTGGTCTTCAAGGTTCTTATTGTGGCTGATACTGAAATCACATGATATCAAGGAATAATCTGGTCAAAAGATGCCAGCCAGTCTGTTCATTCTCTCCAAATGCAGGCCATGGGGAACTTCAAGTATTTTCCATGTTCATATATCCTACACCTAGCGATAAAACAGTTCATCTGGTCCTAGGGCTGGTATGGCTCACTCCATGAAGAGGACCAAGAGGTAGAGAGGTGCCCATGACATCAGTTAAATCTCTGGGTGGTGACAGGGCTCTTTTGTCCTTCCTGTCAACTTGCTTCAGGGCGGTAGCTATGGGGCCAACTCTCACTTAAGGACTCAAGAGATCAAAACACACACACACACACACACACACACACACACGGGGGGGGAGCTTCCTTGAAAATAGAGACCTGTTTTCTATATACATTATATAGTTTCCTGTCATAACTGGTGGATAATACATCCTAGCACAGATCTTTATTTTTTTTATCAGCAACAAGTTGTACAGGGCTGGAGAGATGGCTCAGTGGTTAAGAGCACTAGTTACTCTTCCAGAAGACCTGGGTTCAATTCTAAGCTCCCAAATAATGGCTCACAGCCTTATGAGGAGATCCTCAGCTTCTGGCCCCCTCAGGCACCAGGCATGCAAGAGATACACAGACATATATGCAAGCAAAACACCCATACACATAAAATAAATACATCTTCAAAAAACTTTTTAAAAGAACAAGTTGTAATTTCCATGTGTATAGTGTCAAAGTAGTGCCCTGCCGTTTCTCTTTGCTGTGACAAAGTACTGGACAGAAGCAGCTCAAGAGAGAAGTTTATTTGGGCTCACTGTACAGGGGATAGTCCACCATGGCAGAGAAGAATGGCGACTAGTGGCTCCATCCTCCGCACTGAGAGCTCGAAACATGGCTAGTTACATCTGGATGTGGGTGCTGAGCTACAGAACCCTTAATGCTTATTTAGACTGGCTTTGCCCCAGGTTGTAAAGGCTCCAGAACCTGCTACAATGCCACCACTGGCTTGAGACCAAGAGTTCAAACACAGAAGCCTATGGAGAGGCATCTCACTGTGAAACTGTAACACTCCCTGTAGAAACATGTTAACTAGAAGGAACAGGAGAATCATTGTCTAAGGAGGAGCCTGGCTGACCTCCATGAGTGACCAGTGAGTGTGTTCTCCAATGGGCAGGTAGAAACTACATATCACCTGAATGGCCATGAGGGCAAATCTCTACAGTTTCTCTAACACTCCAAACGAATCCAGGGATACCCCACAAGAGAATAACAGGCACAGGACACCAAGGGTCAGCCACAGAGTAACTGGCAAGTAGTCCCCAAAGAGTCAAGTGATGGGAATCAAACAGGTGCGTGTGTGTGTGTGTGTGTGTGTGTGTGTGTGTGTGTGTGTGTAGGGCAGTGCAGGTGTGCATGTGTGCATGCCATGCACACACCTATACCGGTGCCTGTGTCTGCCAGAGGTTGATGTCAGGTCTTTCTCAGTTGCTTCTCTACCTTATGAAATAGGGTCTGTCCCTGAACCTGGACCTCCCCATTTCAGCTACAAAACTGGCCAATGAGCACCCGGGATCTTCCTGTCTCTATTTGCAGAAGCACACCACCATTCCCCACTTTTTATATAGGTGCTAAGGACCCAAATTTATGTCTTCATATTTGTGCAGTGAGCATTTTACTGAACCATCTCCCCAACTCCCCCATCAGGGGTGATGATGGGATGTCAGATTGACAGTTTATTTTCAGGTAATCAAAAAGTACTCCCAAATATTCTTCATAACAAATGTACTTAAAAAAGATTTATTTATGGGTGCTCTGTCTGTATGTGGTTTGCTAGGAATTGAACACAGGACCTGTGGAAGAGCAGTGGTGCTTTTAAGTGCTGAGCCATCTCTCCAGTCCCTGTACTGGACTTTCAAGTACATGTTATTTTTATATGATTTTGAATATGTTTTAAAATAAAGATATTTTGTGTATATTAGAACAGAGTGGCGATGGATGATATTCATTCCATCTTGTGTTTCATATCTAACATATACCAGAACTCTTTATAAATATGGAAAATGTGGGTGGATGACAACAAACTAATAACTTGTGATACTGAGTGAACATAAACTACAAAGGGAAACTGGAATGTGGGACTTCTTGTGTGCAGATTAACAACATAAGGCAACCCTATGACGCCTGGATAAATAGCATGTAACATTTCTTAATGTCTGAAAATAGCACACACTGATTTTAGATCAATTTTTTTCCTGGAGTGTACGGGGAGAAGAAAGAAGGAAAGAAAGAAAGATTTCCAAGAGGAGACAGTTAGGACTGCATTTGAAAACAATGAAGAGAGAGAGCTGTAACAGGCTGTAGAGGAAAGTTTCTGTCCCACCTAGTCCTGCAGCCATTTAGTTCCAAATAAACAAAGAGAGGAATATATTAATTATAAACTGTTTGACCTATGGCTCAGGCTTCTTATTGGCTAGCTCTCTCTTAATCATTAACCCATTTCTATCAATCTCTGTACCTCCACATGGTCTTGCCTGGCTTCATGCTCCAGGAGCGTCCCTCCTTCTGGCTTTATGTCCCAGGTGTGACCCTCATTCTTTCCTCCTCCCATTCTTCCCCTTCTTCTTCCAAGCCTAGATTTCTCCTCCTATTTATTCTCTCTCCCTGCCTCTTCTTTCTCCTGACTAGCTGTTGGCCATTCAGCTCTTTATTAGACCAATCAGGTGCCTTAGGCAGGCAAGGTGAAACAGATGCAACACATCTCTACATAATTAAACACATATCCTAACATTGTTAAACAAATACAGCACAAACAAAAGTAAAACACCTTTACACAGTTAAAGTAATATTCTACATCGTAAGTGAACGTAAACATAACACATCTTTGCCTAGTAAAAATAATATTCTCCAGCAGAGAAGAATGGAGAGAAGGAAGTGACTTCCTACCTATGCCCTTACTGATGCTGCTTTTGATCCTTCTGGCTGCAGGTCAACATCAACACCCAAGAGCTTTGGGAGGAAATGCTCGGCTCCAAAGGACTGACTGGTGATTCAAAATAAACCCATGTCCCCTGATCCATTCTCTTCAAAATCATTCCAATAATGCATGTGAAGAAGGGATTACAATGAGTGTTACTTTCTTTTAAGCCTGTGACTCAATCCCCAGTACCATATAAACCAGGCACAGTGGCACACATCTGTAATCATAGCATTTGGGAGTTGGATGCAGAATGATCAGAGTTCAAAGTTCATGGCAAATCTGAGGCTAGCTTGGGCTACCTGTGACTCTTGTTTCAAAATGTACAAACAGAAAAAGAACCAGGCAATTTCTTTATGTCTGCATGCACAGTAGCCCTGCCTTATCTACGGTTTCACTCTCCTCTGGTTCAGTTACCTGCATCCTACCACGGTCCCATGGAACATTCCAAAACTATAAGTTCATAATTTTAAAATTGCAAACCATTCTGAGAAGTGCTGTAATTTCATGCCCTCCCACCTGGGACACCAGCCAATCTTTTGTCCAGTGTATCCACATTGTATATACCACCAGTTCATTGTTCTCTTAGAAGCTAGTTATCAAACTGTCTCCATCCTGAAGTGCTTGCATTAGCTTTGGTTCTATCCAGCTTCTGTTCTCCATGGTGTCTTGGAACGTACCTCCTGAGGATAAGGGCTACTGTTATATTTCATTTAGTTGGACACCAGTAAATTCAGTTCCGTGAATGAGTAAGTACTGTCAGGTAACAGGGCTCTATTGGTTTAGAGCCAATCACAGAAAATTTTAATGACTTGTGGCACAAAAGAAGAATGTTCTGGGAGGAAAAATGGGGGTTTTCTGGAACTCCCAGGGATGGAGAAAGAATGAAATATCACAGAGAACTGGAAACAGGCAGGTACTGTACAACCATTGTCAACACCTATGTTCTTTGAATCATCACCCATTGTTGGTTTACCTGTGCAATAGTAGGTTAAACACTTAACACCCTCCAGTGTCTGCAGGTCAGGGTTAAATGCAATCCCACTGGGTGTCTCTGGCCCCAGAGGCTTTCCCAGAGGTCAGTTTGTGTCACAAGTGGAGTTCAGCTTTGGAGTGGACTTGCTTCCAAGCTCTTTCTATGGCTGTTGGTGGACCAGGCTCACTCAGTGGGTATCAGCAGGGTTCACGTCCTCACTGGTTGCTGGTCAGTGGTGATTTCTTGCCACCAGTTTCTGCACAAGGCTACTCACATCATGGTAACTTGCTCCCTCCAGAGCTGGGGCAGTGATGGGACACAGTTGCAACTTGGCTTTTTGTCAATTTAATCTTGTGCTTATAAGAAACCTGCCATGAAGCCCAGCCCACTCCCAAGGTTTGGGGCTGACATAATGGTGTGTGTACCAGGCTAGAGTCTTTGAAGTGCCCACCCTCTGCTATCTCTTCTCTAGGTATTCATTCCTCTTCTCTAGGTATCTCTGCATTCTGTTATTCTCAGCTCTATACTCCTCTATCTGCTTATCTCCATGACCATTCAGCACTCAAGAACGTGCCCTCTGGGCTGGAGAGATGGCTCAGAGGTGAAGAGCACTGACTGCTCTTCCAGAGGTCCTGAGTTCAATTCTCAGCAACCACACAGTGGCCAGTGGCTTACAACCATCTACAATTCAATCTAGTGCCCTCTTCTGGTAAGTAGGCATGTAATAAATAAATAAATAAATCTTAAAAAAAAAAAAAGAACGTGCCCTCTCTCAAAAATCCCATGTCTTCCCAGCCCTTTCCTTTACTGTTTCCTGAGGTGTCCTGAACTGAGACATCTATCTGAGAATGTCATGGGATTTCACAATCATAGTTCTTGTTCCAAGGCCCAGCTGAAAAGTTCCTGCCTCTGTGAAATCTTTCCTGATCTCCACTTTCCTCCTCCTGGGACTCTCCCAGGGCTCTGTCAAGTTCCCCACCATATTTCCAGTTTGGCATAGCCTGTCTGTCACCCCAAACTCTAATGCAACACTATTAGCTTTTTCATTTGGCATCTGTGGCAGATTTGTCCAAGCCCAGAGCCAAATGGATATTATTAAATAATGTTAGTCCCATTGATCCAGTGTGTGTGGGTGTGAGTGTTGGCACACTCTCCAGTTGGGGAGATTATGAAGCCTTTTTGATGGTGCCAAGACTTAACTGTTGTACCCATGTGTCTGGTCTGAGCAGTTGAATATAATCTTTTATATTTCCTGAGCACTGACTATGCCAGGCCTACTCTTAGTAGTTTGATGGTGGAAAGCTCCTGTAAGACCTTCTCTTACTGGGCAGGTTAGAGAAACGAATGCACACACACACACACACACACACACACACACACACACACACACACACCGGTGGGGCAATGGGTGAGAGAGAATTGATCTTTCTGGCATCAGTAGAAACTTGTTTCCAAAGCTATCCATAAGTCTCATCTGCTTTGGCCCTTTCTCGTCCGCCTTCAAATTCACACAGAATTAGGAGCCTCCCAAGTGTCCTCTGCTTTGCTTCCTGTCTGTCAGAATGAAATAAATCGTTATGCTCTTCCTCTCCAGCATTCCCACCCTCTCCCCCCTGCACTCATGTGACCACCCAGTCAGTCTTTGTCCTCACCACCCCTCCCAGAGCCAAGGAAGAGAGAGGATGAGGAGCTGGTGGAAGGTATCAGAGAGACAGAAGCTGGCAGACGCTGGCCTCGGAGGCATCAGTACAGACACCATTCCTTTTCCTTTGGGGCTTGAACTTGCCTTCCTCAGCAGAACTGTTTACAGCATCCTCAGTCTTCAGAGACATTTTCTTTATTTCATCCAAGTGCAGTTTTGCCTGTGGTGTGTTGGAATCTAAACATCTGTCTTGTTCTCAAAGTTATGAAGGTCTTGTTCTCAAAAGAGCTCCGAACCTGACTCTTAGAATAGATGCCAAAGAGGCTCAAGTCCCCCTTCCTCAAGTCATCCTGATGTCTTTTTGATCTCTTGTCCCAAGTTTTCTAATAGGTAATGGGAAACCATGTTTCCTATCAGTGAATAAGAGTCAACAGGATGCTGCCTGGTTACTTGCTACTTTTGGAGTAGTTTGCAGTCCCTTCAGGTATTCACTGAGTAACATTCTGGTCCATGCCTGATTTCCTCTGCCCCAAGGTAAAGGGATAACCTTAAAACATGTTTCTTCTTCTATCTATACTCATTCCATCTCTTCCTCCCCACTCCTTTTTTTAAAGATAGGATTGCATGTAAAACAAACTCACTTGGAGTTAAGGATGGTCTTGAACATCTCATCTTCCTGCCTCCAACTCCCAACTGTTGCCACCGTACGAAGCTACTTCAGAAATATTTCAGATCCAGAATGGCATGTTGGAATGAGGGATGGTTCTGGTTTATGCTCAGTTCTAATCTCTAGGTTGCAGGGAGTGGAGGTGTGAGAGCAGACCGTCTGCAAGGACATGGCTGTCTGCTGAACATTGTCACTCCTTGGCTCCTACAGTTGTGGACGTCTACCAGGGCTGGTGTGGCCCCTGCAAACCTGTGCTTAGCCTCTTCCAGAAGATGAGAATCGAGGTTGGTTTGGACCGTCTCCATTTTGCTCTGGTAAGATTCCTTCTTAGCAAAAAGTCACACAACAGTGTAAACAAATTAAACATGGAAGAAACACAGGGCAAGATCTCCAAGCTGCCCTTTTCAAATAGAAAGGCACCAATTGTCACAGTATCGTGTGTCACCAATCTCACCGCCAAGCTGTACGCTGGGAAGGAACACATGTCACTCAGATGCATCTGCATATCCATCTTAGCTAGTGAGCACTGCTGGCCAAAATGTCACTTTCAGAGCCCAGTGTTTCAAGACTTCTATCCTCTCTGATAAAGGGGATCTTTTAGCAAATGTTTGCTCAAAGTACAAAATTGGGAATCTCATAGAGGTGTGAAAGAGACACTGCTGACATACTGCACACCAAGGTCCACAGACACTAAAGACAACAGGGCTTACCTACTAATCCATCAGGAGGCCAGACTCCAAGGACCACAGAAAGTGACAGGATGCCTATGACTTTTACTCCTGTCATTGCCAGTCATGACCATAGGAGGATGTCAGATGGTGGGGTACACTGAACCAGTCCAGTAGCTCAGTGGTGAGCCAGAGAAGCTCATCTCCTTCCCTCTTGGCTCTTCAAGATAATGCCACTGGCATAACTGTCACCAGTATGTTGACAAGACAGCAGCTGGGTTTCATTCAGGAGGTCAATCACGAGGACATGAGTTGCTGTGACCTTTCACTGGCTGCACCTAGGGTACCTGATGACAGCTTGCTTCCTTCAGGCAGAGGCTGACTGTCTTGATGTTCTGGAAAAATACCGAGGGAAGTGCGAGCCAACCTTTCTGTTCTACGCGGTAAGTATCTTTGCAGAAGTAGAATGGCTACAGGGCTTCTTTTATTGTTTTATTAATGATTAAAGCTTGGGAGTCAGATATTAGGGTATAAACATGATAGGTCCACAGAGTAATAGAGATCAGCTGCCCTCCTCTCCACCTTCCTAGATCAAAACGACCGGGGAATCTTTGCAAGCTCCCCCTTATTCCTCTTTGTGTCTCTTTATCTTCCTCTGGGTTGGCCAGAAAACTCTATGGTTTATTCTGGCCAGCTGATTGTGGACTCTGCCCACTGAATCAAGGTTTAACTTTATTGGCGGTCTCTGATAGACAACACAAGCAATCCCACAACCGTTTCTTGACTACAACTCTGGTGTTCAGTTTGATACATCAGTCCTCTGGAGACACCATGAAGCCTCAGCCATGCTAAGGGGTGATGCTGTCCCTGCCACACCCTCTAGATTGATTCACTAAGTCTACTAAAAAATGGGCATGCACAGGTGTGTTCATTCCTGCCCGGGGGCCCTGTGCTGCCAGAGATGAAAGACCAAGTTCCATGATGGCCACTGGTAGCTGGACAGCCTTCCTAAGTGAATGCGTATGACAAAAGACACACATCCTGGAACGCACATAGTCAGACTTGGACACACTAGATTTTGCAGAGCATAGTTTTGAGATTTCTCTTCTTGGCCTAGGGAAACTTTCAGGGGAAATGAACGTAGTATAGAGAAGCTGTGTGTTTGCCTTGATAACCACAGTGTGAGATGAAAGAGAGGGAGCCTCCTGGGAACCAATAGTTCTATGGTGACAAATGACTTGGATGGCTTCATATGTGCCATTCATGGCCAGCTCCATGCCCCTTAGAGTCTACTGTTGCATCCCTGACTTCCCAAGTTGTGGCCACCTGCCAGACTCAGGAGGCAGCTGGTGGATAGGTTGATACAGCATCAGCCCCGCCCTCTCATGGTAGTCAGGGAAACCAGGGTCTGCTCTCCCAGGTCTCCTGATAGCCAGCCCGGGTTACTCAGTTCAGCTCAGCTCTTAGCCTCAGCGCCTTGAGTGCCACATATTAGAAACTTAATTTAATTTTGTATTACATTGTGTGTGTGTGTGTGTGCACATGCTACAGCAGTCACGTGAAGGTCAGATGACAGCTGGTTCTCTCCTTCCACCACGTGGGTCCTGGACATTGAACTCTGATCATCATCTTTGACAGGAAACATCTTTACCTGCTGAGCCATCTTGCCAGCCCCACGTTAGAAACTTAGGCTAAAATGTCCCTTGATCTTGTCCTTTGGTAGTGAGACCCAGTTTATGTAGGGCTTGTGGGGAAAAAGAAACTTTTAGTGGGAAGGAGATGGTCACACCCACTCAGCCACTCTGGCTATCGGCGCTGTCACAGAACGCAGTCCTTACCAAAGTTATGTGATTGCTTGGACCAACGGTGGTTAAAGCATAAATCACAATCACCTGTGGGGGATTCAGGCCACAGTCTCCAACCCATGGTGGCCCATGAGGGGGATGGAGAGAAATAGAAGCAGGGCCATTCTCTAGGAGCTGCTCCTCGGACCCATTTCTCAGTTATATACATGGAGAAACTGAAAGGGAAAACTCAGGTCCACCCTCGGTGTGACCACTACAAAGTCCTCCCAGTACTGGGAACTGACTCTTCTGCTTCCACGCTGACAAGCTTCAAACACGAAGTCCTCTGTGGTTTTATCCTGGTTGTGTGTTTGGAGTGACCACTCCGCTGCACTTTCACTGAGGCAGACAGATCTTATGTCTCTCTCAAGTTAATGAGTGTAGTCTTTGCCTCAGTCTGAGTGCTCGGTATAGTAAGTACTCAATAAATATCTGTCAGTAAGCCACATATAAGTCACATTTAGTCTCACACCTCTCTGCGAATTGTTACTAACTGCCAGTTTCCCTGAAGGAAGCTTTAACAAGATGAGTGTCAGGGAGAAAAGGCCAGTGTCAGGGAGACGTGGTGATCAGAGAGAAATCTTTTAAGAACTAAGGGCCAAATTGAGGGCCTTATGGTGGGCTGGACTCCAGGAAGGGGCAACAGGAGTGAGGGAGGAGGACGTGGGCCTGGGGTTGGTGAACCTTGACCTTTGGCTTAGCCTTAGACGTCCCTGTCTCCTGCAATCCATGACCGGCTGTGAAGAGGATTTCATGTGGTCCGTCACACATTCCAGGGAGGAGAATTGGTGGCCACGGTGAAGGGAGCCAACGCCCCACTGCTTCGGAAGACCATCTTACACCAGCTGGAGGTGGAGAAGAAGGCTCTGGCTGAAGGCAGGGAACGGAGCGTGGTAAGTGGAAGTCACGTGTCCTCCTGGCAGGCTCACAGATATGCTCCCATAGAGCTCCTCCCCAGTGGGGAAGCCTCTGTGTCCTCCACTGGACCCGTTCTTCACCCAGGCGGTGAGAGAATGCACATTCTGAAGTCCCTTTCTTTCCAGAGCCCCTGGAACTTCTTTCATCCGTTTCCCTTTCACTCACAACTTAAACTCAGTCATGACTTCAAGGAGGGAGACAAGTTTGCAAAACTGAGTAGTGACTTAGCCCATAGCAATCGATTTTTAAATGGAAAAGTTCATTTTGACTCACAGCTTAGGCTTCAGTCCACAGACAGCTGGGTCTGTTGATTTTGAGTCAGTGCTGAGGCAGCATTTGGTGAAGGCTGTTCATCTCAGGGAGACTGGAGAGAATAACTTCCTCCCCAAATCTCCTTCAAGTACACTCCCCTAGTGACATTTATGACTCCACCTCTTCGAGTCCTACCATCTTGCCAAACTAAGGACCATGAGTTTAATGCATGGGTTTTTGGGGAACACCCAAACTACAACAGATAGATAGGAGGATCTTCTCCCACCCTCATGGTAAAGTCTCTCCTAGTGACCCACACACTCAAATCCCTAAAGGTTTTTAGCTGTGAGCACACACAGGTCATTTCCTGAATTTAGAAATGTAGCTGCCATTACTATGAGAGACAGGATCAGCCTAAACTATTTCCATAACAATACAGAATGTACCATCTTCACAGTCAATCGGCAATCTTTAAAACATCCGTACACCATAGGTATGTGGAGGTGCTTCCAGGCACTTCGTGCATCTGCCAAGAACATACTGTTGGGTGGTGTTCACTGTTCAAGCCTTCATACTAAGTTCCAAAGAGCACAGTCCCCTCTCTAGAATTCATAGACTCGGGTCATACTTCCACGTCTCTAAAGATCCCAGCCTTGTTTCCCTAAGAAGGAAGACCACACACTCACCTTTTTCACAAGCTGCCTCTGGGAAAATGGTCTGTGCCTTTATTTCTCTGCACTGGGTGGCACACCCCTTGTATTTGAACACCAACTGCCCATTCTTTACCTTAGTCTCTACTTGTGCTTGGTTAAGAGGCAGACTCAAGACCAGCAAGGATTTCCCCCACCATCCAGCTACTAGAAAGGCCCCCGTTGCCCATAATTTTCATTGGCTAACTCCTTTCTACTCATGACTGATTTGTCCTAGGTTACTGATGAGGTTCTTTCTGGTGCAGCCAAGTGCCCTCCCCACGAAAAGGATGATGGTGAAGAAGGGGACATAGGTGAGTGCAGAGACAATGAGCAAGGTGCATTCTGATTTGACGCACACCTTAAACAAGTGAGTCACCAGGCTGCTGGGACATCTCAGTTCTAGGAAACTGGCCATGAGTATTCTGTCTTCAGCACTTGGCTTCAACCAACCGGGATCTCCCTTCTGCCCTCTGGTAGCATCAGGAGTACATTTGGCAGCTGTCAGATGATACTCAAATATGACTTCGATGGCAGTCATTAGACTCAGGAAATGATCCTTCTAGAAACTTTAGTAATAACAGAAGAGAGCAATGAGTTCTGATTTGGAGAGTTCAAGTGTCACTTTCTGCCTCTTTGGGAAACACAGGAGCCCCCCCTCCATGGCCTTGCTTCCTCTGCTCACATCCCCGCCCTTTCTCTCCCTCATTCTCTAGCCATCACCACGGGTTTCATAGGCACTGTGCCTCTTCCGGAGCCTTCCTAGGAGAAGAATACCCTGGCTGTGTGTGAGGACCAGTGTCAGACAGGCTGCTGCTAGGAAGGTGCCTTGTGTTAGCAACTAAGATGCCAGGGAACCCGGACAGGATGCCAGTGAACTAGACTGGATGCCAAGAACCCGGGGCAGGGGGCAGCTGGCGGGAGGAAGCTTTAAAACTCTCATCACATAATACTCATGTTTTTTTCTCCTGGGTGCTCAGTAAGGACTGTTGGATTGGAGTCTGACAAGGCAGGAAGCATGCCTTAGGAAAGCCAGGAAACCACGGAGAAGACAGTCTGTGAATTGACTCCCATAGGAAATATTCTTTCTGTATTGTTGCCTCTTCCCTCCTCTGTCATATCCTCTGCAGCCTCTTTGACCCAGAAAACCACATGGAACTCTCTCTCTCCCTTAGGCTAGGATCTGTGAACCTTGTCCTCGTCTCGGAGCCACTCCTCACCTTCACTCCTGCCGACGTGGTGTGGTCTGCCTCTGAAACCACTGCTCCTGAAAGGGCACCCCTGAGAGGCACAGGGGCAGTCTGTTGCCACAGGCCACCACAGCCTCTTCCTGCAGAGAAGGAAGGATGATACTCATGGTGTTGGTGTTGGTGTGCCCTCCTTCTCAATGCCCCCACTCTGTGTGTGTGTTTATCTGGAGAGGGGACCTAGGCCTTCATGCATGCTAGACCAGTCTCTCTGAGCTACAGCTCACGTCCCCACCCTCTGGCTTCTGAGATAACATCTTTGTATTTCTCTGACCTCTTTTCCTGGGCTTCCCCTTTGGTCTGAAGCTGGGCCTCATCTCTTCTTTCTCTACACTTCAGTGATCTCATGAGCCCACCAATTCATCACAGAACCAATCGTAACAGTACTCTAATGTCAAGTGTTCATAGTCTATCAGAAATGGTAGCCATAGAAACATTAGCAGGTGGTTGCTTAGGGTGACACACACTGTGCAAGGCAGCCTTTCTGTCGCCATATGAAATACCTGGGAATAATCACCTTATATAGGCAAGATGTCTATGTTGGTTCAGAGTTTTGGAGTTTCAGCCTATAATCAGTTGGTCCTGATGCTTTGGGGCCCAGGGTAAGCAGCACAGGGTGGGAGCATTGGTAGAGCAGGTATCCCACCACGAGGAAGCAAACAAGAGGGCAAGCAGCTGGAGCACCACAACCTCTGCAAGAGCAGAAGCCTTGTGCCTGGTCCCAGCTTTCAAAGGTTCACCCACCTCCCAACAGGGCCACAGGCTGCGGACCATGTGACTGGTCCCAGCTTTCAAAGGTTCACCCACCTCCCAACAGGGGCACAGGCTGCAGACCAAACCTTTAGCATCCGGGCCCAAAGAAGACATTTGTCCAATGGATGGCATATACTTATTTAGTAAGGCTTTCCAGATATTCCCAGTAGAAACTCTCCTTAGATGCAGCTGATTTTGTTTTGTTGTGGCACAACAGATATAAAAGTTGAGAAACAGGAACTAGAGAGTGGGAAATGTTGATTTGGGAGAGAATGCTGATAACTTACCAAGGCCAAGTTCAATGTAACTAGGAACCCTATAGAGATGGGGTCCGGGGATGGACAAAGCTTTCCCTGAAGTTCCCCACAGCTTGGACCTAAGAGGCCTCTGATCATCAGGGTTGATCCCCAGCACAGCCAAATTAAAGCTACAACCAAAACAAAATTAAAAAGCTCAAGCTGCTCTATCTGACCTTCTCATGGGTAACTTGAAGTAAGGCAGGGAGGTTTGAAGCTACAGTTTACTAGTGTGTGCTCAAGTTGAGAAGTACAAAGTTCGTGCAGGGCTTGGGACAACCATTTCTGCCACTTGGCAAGAAAGGCAAAAAGCAGAGGGGGCTGGAGGAAGGCTGGGTGGTTAAGAGCATTGGCTTCTCTTCCAGAAGACTCAGCTGCGATTCCCAGCACTCACGTGGCAGTTAACAACTGTCTGGAAGTCCAGTCCCAGTGGACCCAATGCCGTCTTCTGGCCTCCATGGGTACGATGCCCACGGTGCACAGGCAGACATATAGGCAAAACATCCGTACACATAAAATAATTTATTTTGCAGAAGCAAAGGAGTCAGGAGAGTGAGAAGAGAGCAAGGCGGACAGCAGTTAAAGCTGAGACCCATAAGAGGGGGTGAGGAAGTCATAAGGGTGTCACCTTTAGTCTTCTGTGTTCCCTGCTCCGGGCAACTCATTCCGTCATCCCAAGTTTCTGTCCCTGAACAGTCTTTTGAAAATGGTCACCCCTATGTGCCCCCAGACCAGAGTTCAGAGAGTCAGTCTCTGTCCCTCTCAGGCTGGGGTTCCTGGCTGTGGTCTAGTGTCAGATTGGTGCCATTTGCCACAGTCTAGGTACAGCCTAGAGGCCAGAGGTTGGAAGCTGGTACTTGGTGTGATGGTGCCAGTACCGAAGCAACACTGTTCCTACAAATGACCTCCTGAGAGCCTCAAGCATCTGACAGTGCCACCCTTGGCTCATTTCAGTGTCATCGGAGAAGACCTGTACATTAGCCATCATTAAGCCAGATGCAGTGGCCCACGGAAAGGCCGATGAGATCATCATGAAGGTAGGAGATACAAGACTTACATGTTCTCAGGTCCCCCTGCAGTGGATACACAGAGATGGGGGTGGTGGCATCTGTGCTGTATTGGGGGAACAGGGGCTTCTGATGAGTTATAACTCAAACTTTATCCCAGGTTGGGACGATATTAGATTATTAGATCTGGGAGCAGGTGCTGGGGTGGGGCTAAGGACCTGCAAGGTTTCTAATATTGCCCAACTTTATATTTTAAATCTTTCCATTAGGATCACTGTAAATGTGGGCTTTAGTCACATTTGCAGAACACACACCTGTATGTACACACGTGTGTGTGTGTGTGTGTGTGTGTGTGTGTGTATGTGTGTGTGTATTCTGCAGATCCAGGAAGCAGGATTTGACATTTTGTCAAACGAAGAGAGAACCCTGACAGAAGCTGAAATGCAAGTGTTCTATCAACACAGAGCCGGGGAGGTCAGCTCATCTGCTCCTATTGGTCCATATAACTCTCATTTCCCCTCCTCCAAACCATGCTGATAGGTTGACAGGAGTTAGGAGGAGCAATATGAAGAGCAAGAATATGAACGGCAAGTAGGTGGGTAATGAATTATACTTGGAATTATTAGAGCCTATACAGCTCAAGTATTATGCCTGCAAGAAAAACAGTTCAACTGTAAGTAATGGAATAAAGACTTTTATTAGGAGGGTGCTCCATAACTCTCAGAATTCATGAAAGAACATGAAAAAGTTCAATAAGAGAACTTGGAGAGAAGAGAAGCCAAGAAAGTTCTAGGGCCCACAGGAACCAAGGCAGTAGGCAAATCACTCATGACATCACCAACTGCCACTTTAGTCTACATGCTTTTTCTGCTTGCTTCTGCTTATGAGTTGCCTACTTGGGGAGTGTGGCAGACCACTCTTAGGTCCAGCACCACTTCCTAAGTCAGAGATGTGATGGTTGCTAAGGATCATGGCTGTGAAATGAGGAACAAATGAAAGGACAGAGAGATCTTCCCCAAAGGAAACCCAGGATACTGTCAGAGAAGGAGAAACGGGAGGGGAATCCCGTGTACACTGTGCCCTTGGAGATCCAACACCCATATAGTACATATCTGTAGCATCAGTTCTAATAGGTCTTAATGAAAACCCAGAGTCAGACATTGGGGAAAATGCTGAGAGATCAGAGAGATGAGGGAAGAGCGATGAGGGAGCAAAACCACAGCCACCTTACCTACTCAACTTCCCAGCCGAAATGAGACTGAGCTCTGTCTCCTGCACTATCACTTCTTCTCTTGGCCCAGTCATATCACTTCCTGTCTGTCTGTACAGACCTCCAGACCTCTATGGTTAACTAGTGACTAGATCCACCCTCTGACCTTCAGACATGCTTTATTTGTTAAAAGTACAAACAAGATATCAACCACACATATCCATATATACATAATGTTTTTAGCATGCACCTACCCACCTGGTTCACCTTGCTGGGGTGAGGCTGGTGACCACCATCACAGTAGGCAGACATGGCTGTGTGTCCATGAGTATACAAGGCTGTTTATAACTCCCTTTCAGGCTGTGGGTAGTTTGGGTTCACTGGCTTCTTCAGCTATCAGTAACCCCTGCCCTAGGTCACTGTTTCTCTTCCCTGTGCCTAGGAGGCATTTGAGAAGCTAGTCCGTCATATGTGCAGTGGACCCAGCCACCTCCTGATCCTCACCAAGACCGAGGGCACCGAGGATGTAGTCACTGCTTGGCGAGCCTTCCTGGGGCCTTGTGACCCCAATGTGGCCAGGAAGGAGCACCCTGAAAGGTGACACCAGCTGTAGTTCCTTCATCCACCTCAAGTTGACACTTCATTTAGTGTTTGGTTTGGAATTGTGGGTGACACTGTCAGCTCTCTGGTGGCCAGGAAGTCCCCTTCTATACATATGGGAAGTCTTGGACATCTTCCTACCCTGATTGAGTTTCCCGGTCTTTGCTGATTATTCCCACCCCCTCACAGTCACTGACCTCAGGGACCCAGACAAGCCTGCCAAGTCAAAGGTTCGTTCAGCATGGCCTGTACTGTAGACTTGACTCCCACAGCCCACTGGAGTAAGCTTCCTGTTCAGCACACCTACCAGGACCTGTATAGCCTGCTCTCTGACTCAGTGAGCAACTTAGCCTGGAGTCATAGTGCCAAATCCATGGGTCCTGGCCTTTGAGGTGACAGACACATGGACAGACAACAGGAAAGAACTTAGCTAAAAGCTAAAGCCCTTGAGCTGTACCTTGCAGATATAAGGGACAAGAGCATCTAACTGAGGCTAAGTAAAGCAGCCAAGGGCTTGGACCTCAGGTCACCACTTAATGGGTCAAGTCCCTCCTTGGCTTCAGTTCCCTAGACTGCAAAGTGGGGATAACCAAGATCAGTGTTCAGAGGCGTTTAGAGCTGTGCTCAGCACATAGGTCCTACCTAGCTAGCACTACCAACGATAAAGTTCTTATCAAAATTAGTCATTGGGGACCTTGTGGTGAAATGGGAGCACGTCACATCTGACTCCTAAATTAGTTATGAAGAACTGTATGACACACCACATGGTGCTGGCCCTAGGCAGTGAGCCAACACAGTGGGAATTATCTCCCCCTGGGCAGAGGCGAAATGCAGCTAGATCCTGTGTGTAATGTCCCTGGCCAGCAGTTGCTGGCATGGCTGCTCTTCTTGGATTCTCTACAAAGAGCAAGCACCCTCAAGCTGACTGGTAGCTGGTGGTCCTGCTCCAGACAGCAAAGCATTTCTTTTCAAGTGAAGTAATTGTTTCTTTTCCATTGTACCAATGCTCCCAGTCTCCGGGCTCAGTATGGCACAGAAATGCCCTTTAATGCTGTTCATGGAAGCCGGGACAGAGAAGATGCCAACAGAGAGCTGGCCCTGCTCTTCCCCAGCTTCAAGCTTTCCAGAAAAGACATGGAAGCCCCACAGGGTAAGTTGTCAAGGCAGATTTCTTTATTAAATCTGAGGTGAAAGCCATTTACAATTATGCATGTGTGAGACTGACAGTTTGCCTCCTAATTAGCAAATAAAATTCTGTTCTGAAACCCAGGTCACGGTGTAAATGGTGTCAGCATTAAATCACTCAGTTTATTCATTGAGCATTAGGGCACTTTCTAAATACCACACTGGGCTTTCTGCTTATTGTGGTATTTAGTTCCATTGTAAAGACACTTTGTCTTTCTGCAAACCATGAGGAAAATCTCTTTAAACAAAATTTAAAATCTATTTTTATAATTTCACATATGCATGCTTTGCATACTTATCACTTTCATCTCCCACTGGCTTACTCCTCCCCTACCTGGGTTGTTACCAGGCACTGGTCCCGTCCTCTTGGAGAGGATCCTGAATCCATGCAGATGGCACTTGGCTATCCTACCAACACCGTGTATCTTCTGCCCATCCCACACTCTCATCTCCCTAGTCTCCAAGGCCACCTTCCCTGCCTAAACGTTTCCATCCACTGTCTTCTTAATTATGTTCTACTATATGCCTTTCCTTAATTCTTACCTCACATCACCTTGCTTCCTTGATTGCACAGTCCATGTGATACGAATCATACTGAGGAGTTGATACTATGATTCTTGTGTGAGTGAGCATGTGACATTTGTCCATTTGGGTCTGGGTTACCTTACTTAACATATTTTCCTCCATTTCTCTGCAAATTTCATTTTTCTTTATAGCTGAGTAATATCCTACTGTGATTGTACAAACCTTGATTATTTATCAATTACTTCTATATTTTAGCCCTGTGAATAGGGCAGCAGTGAACAAAGGCCATTATCCCTGTCATAGGGCATAGAGTCCTTTGGACATGTGCTTAGAGTGGTATATATATTTGAGAACCTTTAGGCATGTGCTCAAGAATAGTATATGTATTTGTAACCCCGGCCCCGTCCTAGAACTCGCTCTGTAGACTAGGCTGGCCTCAAACTCACAGAGATCTGCCTGCCTCTGCCTCCAGAGTGCTAGGATTAAAGGCATGTGCCACCAATGCCCGGCATTAAAAGTAGTTTTAATCTGCATTTTTTAATGGCTGAAGTTGCTCAACACCTTGAAAGTGTTTTAATCATAGGTAAAATTTTAATAACGTTCTCAAACTTACTTCAAAGCCCTACCCCCTTCCCTGGCAGGCTTGCTGAGAAGCCAATGCTGCAATAGAAGGGTTCCTTCTGGAGCTGCCTACGGCCTTGGACCCCTCAGCCAACATTACAGTGGGTGATGAAGGCTCAGTATCTTTCCCTCCATGGGATGCACTCACAAGGCCTGGGAAAGACAGGCCAGGCCAGGCCATCATCTTCTCCAGATCCGGGTGGGAAACCGGAATCTAGGTGTGCAGAATTGGGTTCGGGTAGCACTGAGGCTACAATGAGGGGTAGGAAATGAAGAGTCTAGGAAAAACCAAAGGATGTAAAGGTTAGTTTCTTAAGAGGAGGCAAGCCGGTGCTTTAATTACAGCACTCTGGAGACAGAGGCAGGTAGATCTGAGTTCGAGGCCAGCCTGGTCTACACAGTTCCAGAACAGCCTCCAAAGCAACAGAGAAATCCTGTCTTGAAAATCAACAATAAAACAAAACAAAAAAACCAAAACCACCACCATCTCCACCAAAACAACCAAACAACAAAAACAAAACACCAAACAGATAAAACAAATCATCAATCAGGAAAGAGCTTCACAGAGATCTAAAGTATGCATCACCTGTGTGTTTGGATTTTGTTTACCTCATGCTTACGATCTCAATGGCTAAAGCTCATCATGTCAGCATGGGTGAGGTGGGAGCTGAGGAATACACTCCATTTAGCGATTCAGGAGACCCTGGGGAGTGTGGCTCTGTGGGAATCAGAGACCCAAGTATACACAGCCAAGCACCAGTGGACGGTCCTGCCAGAGACAGCTTCCTTCAGACCCATGATGCGTTGTCATCCATTGGAGAGCATGGCTGGAGGCAAGAAAGTGTAACTCGGGCCAACGTGGGGTACGTGGAAGTGAACTGGCTGGAAACAACTGCGTAGGGGTCCTGGGTTGTCCTGGACCTGACATGGTGGCCTTGGCTCATACAGCAAGGGTGATAATTCTGGAAGGATCTAAGTCCAGATCACACTTGGCTCCTGTGAAGCAGCCTCACTGAGAGGTGCAGGCACTGTCACTGGCCCAGCACTTTCCCATTACAGGTTCTGGAGGCAAATCCCAGCCCCACTATTCATCAGCTAAGCAGCTCTGGAAAGTTACTTACCTGTCCTGGGTCCATGCCTTCATGTGTGAAATGGAGACAGTGACAGGCCCATTAAAACCCCAAACTAATAATTACAAATCAGCATCTTCCTCACAGATCTGTTGTGAAGATGAAAGGAGACAGGATGTAAAGGCCTAGCCTGTGACGGACCTACCTCAACTGTTCATTTAAAATTCTGTATTCATCTCTCCTAACACACTCATTAGGACCCCCTTGGCTATCTGTCCTGTTGACACATTCCAGATGTGTCCTTTTTGGGGGGGGGTGGGGGTGGGGGTGGCAGGAGTCCAGGGCTACGGCTGTTTCAGCAGTCTTACAGAACCATGTCACTGCCCTCCCCCCAGGTCCTGAGTCTCAAAGGGTGGTGAGCCCCATGGAGGCCCTTTGCATCTGAGTGTATCTGAGGACGGGGACACTACTGTCTGCTGCCAGGATCAAGGCCACAAGAGGAGTCATCAATATGCTCATGTCTGCACAGAAGGACCTCCAGAGGTTGATTTCAGAGAACCAGTGTTCTTGGTTCAGCCCTATGTTGTAGACAATGGAAATAACTATATAGACTTCCCTGCCTTACTAAACAGTCTACTGAACATACCCTGCCCTCCAGTCACCTCACAGGACACTGAATCTCCCCAACAGTAAATCTACTGCTTTGAGCCTAGCTTGGCACCTTAAAGAGATGTATTTTGTGTGGGGTTGTATGTGTTATGTGTGGGCGTGGGCACAGGTCAGATGACAACTTAAGAAAGTCGATTATCTCCTTCTACTATGTGGGTCCTGGGTATCTAAAGGCCATCAGGCATGGCAGCAGGTACTTTACTTGCTGGGCCATCCACCTCAGCAGCTCCAACTTTGTAACTTGATTAGAAATTAACTCGCTAGGTATGACACTGCCACATACTGCCACAGGACAGTTATGAACAGGCTTCGGTACAGCCCATGTTACCTACTCAAGTCACAGGGGCAGGCACTAACCCCACAGTTCATGGCACACCAAGACATGCTCCTAAAACAGTGCTGTTGCATGTGGGGCCGAGGCTAATTTAACACTTTCCTATTTCTTTGGCTTCTGACTGGGCTAAAGTTCAGTTTTAGGAGCCAATCACATGCTCCCGTGGGGCCAGTCAGCCTCGGTTTTCACTGAGTTGCTGCCTCAGCTGCCCTTTCTTTCTCTGAGGGATGCAAGATTTTAGGAAGAAGTATCTTAGGACCCTGTGATGTTACCACAAACATGGCCACCCGTGACCACCTTGTTCATGCATTATTTGTTCACTGGCAGAGCCCAGGCTCTCACTGCTCGGAGAGGCTTTGCTCTTCCACCATGAGGAAAATGCCAGCACTTTCTTTTGCTCGTCTTCTCTAGAGAAGTTCACTCCTGTCAAGGCGGGCTCTGAGCAGGCCGTTTGCTCTCAGAAGCCTGTTCTTCACCGGAGGTACCATCTTCTGTCTACCTAACCTAAGCACTCTGGTGAGCACTGTGCTGGCTTGGAGAAGGATGGGCCGAGCTGCCAGAAGGTAGGAAGGAAGATATGAGATGTGCTGTGGGGCCTACTATTTAGAGTTCATGACCTTAAGTCACCTTTGGTGTGTACCCCATAATACTCCTCAGGATCTGTCCTGGGCTTCCTCATAACGTGGTGCTCATCAGTTGTTAGAATTCACTATTCCAAACTCTGGCACACAGAGCACAGTGGGGCCACGCTCTCTTTGTGTATGGGCTCGAGAGGCCTGCCACGCCACAGCTTCCACACAACAGGCATCAGTTACAGCCCCAACGTACCTGCAGGAGGGTGTGCACTGACAGCTACCTCATCTCCCCAGAGTCAGGATGCCAGGCAGCTTATCTCTGGCAAGAGGTGAGTCGGAGCAATCAAGGCCTCCAAAAGCAGGGAGAGAGGGAAGAGTGGGTAAGGAACCAGGCCTGAGTGTGAGATGTTTGTGCGGAGGCCTTCCTCGGAGGCGGCTGGGAGGATGAAGCTGGACACTGGGAGCACCGTGCAGTACGGGGACACACTCCTTCACTGTTCTGACCTTGAGGATGCTGTGTACACTGCACTGCATGGCTTCTAAGAATCCACAAGATTCATGGCATAAAGGGTGGAGTTTGGGAAGCGGATCCCTTAAGTGGCTGTTAAGGTCAGTCCACTCTCAGGGGACACCACTCTTGGTAGGGACCCTTGGCCTAGCACCCAGACAGGAATCAGCCAAGGGCAGATTTTGGATGTGTGTTAGGGCTTTTGGATCTCTCAGTTCCTCCGTTCGAGTGCCTGAAATGAGGAGTCAAAGGGGTGGCTCCACTCTAAGGGCTGGCTGTGGCCTGGCAACACCAGGAGGAGGATCCTGGAGCCGCAGAGACAGAGTGGGTGGTTCTGCTATCCACGCCATGGCCCTTACAGTCCTCTCAGCTCTCCTCAAGGATAGGTCCTGAAGAAAAACTTGACTCATGGGGTAAACGAATGAGTCTCTGTTCAGTGATCAGAGAAGGAAAGGTAAGGTAAGATCTACCCCAGTCAGTAGGTGTTGGGACCCCTTCTACCAAGACCTAGAGAGACAATGTCCCCTTTCTTAGGCTTTGCTCGTTTTCCCTAGGGAAGTTACAAAAAAGGGGGCCACCTGGTCTTTCACCTACAGTCACTTTGGGTACCCCAGAGAGTCACAGCACCAAAATTCTCTTCCCTTGACGCCTACCTCATTGTCCTCATGCTCTGGGGCAGGTGACCCTGGATTTCTATTTCCAATGAGGCCTTGAACTGGGAATGGTGGTAAGACAGCACAGTATGGAAGTGAGGAACACCTGTGTGTCCCTGCAGAGGGACAGAAGCTGGTCATTTGTCAAACTCTCTCTGACTTCAGTCGGTAGTGGCAATGGCAACACGAGGGCTGGGTGAAGGGGAAGACACAACATAGCATGTTGGGGTGTGGGCCTTGGTGGCTGGAATGGGCCCCCATAAAGGGTCTGTAGGCTTTCTAGGGTCAGACAGAGAAGCCCTGAGACTACTGCAGATGAGCCATAACTGGCTTGAGGTAGTGACCTTCATTCTACAATGCACAACGACCTCACAGCCCCTCATTGACCACGAATCACAGCCTCTAACAGCCAGTCCACATTTTCTTCTGCCATTTCCTTATGCTCCAGTCATTTGGAAAACAGACTCCTTTTAAGAAGTTGCCATGATTTTTCTTGGCTTTTATTAGCATGTGTTAAAATCATATTATCCAAACACTACCAGAAGAACACATATTGTTCTGAATAAAGTGCTTAAGGGAAAAAATGCAACTTATTAAACTGGACATTCTTTTCTAGTTCATAAATTTTGGGTTACAATCAGGGCACAAAAGGAGAAACAGAATGCAGTATTAGAGCAAGAAGCTTCAGTAAGAACTTGGGTGCAGACATAAGACCATGTCCCATTCTCCCCACTTCCTTGCTGACCAAACACTGCACCTGCATAAAGCAGCAAACAGCTTTGTTTTAATAAATACATTTCCCTTCATTCAAATCAGAAAAGTTAATTATAGTAAAGCACTTTTTATGTGACCATTGCTTATACCCATAGCCAAGATTTATCCACAGGGTTCAAGGCATCTTCAGCCCTCTCATGCTATTTGGGTTCAAGATTGTCTCAGCAACATGTTATTGGTTTTTTAAAAATATTTACTGGTACTTTCCAAAACTGACGCTGTAGCATTCATTTTGTGTTACAAATGCTACCCAAGGGTACAGTCTCAGCACCAGAAGTGGCAATGAGCGGGCCCTCATAAGGCTTCATTCCCAGTAAACCCGGTTTCCTTTCAGTGAGTCTTCTCACATTAGCACTCTAGACACCTGCACAAAACCCAAGTTCTGTTGTGACAGCTTTCAAATCAGTGATGTTCCGAAAAACAACTTGGAAATCTCTGTATTTGCATCTTGGGTGGTCATATGGAGAACAGAAAACATTGCATTAAATACATTTAGAAACATTCATTTGCAATCAACCATATTTAAGTCTCCCAAGGAAGGTGCAGGCTGGTGACAGAGCAGCTCACAGGTGAGCAGCTCTATCAGGAGTGGCTGTGGGAGGGTGTGGACCCCTGGCAGCTGCACACACTCACTGCAAGCTTCTGGACCACAGACCTCACATCCTGCCTGCCATGTTGCTGATCTCCTTCTAGTAAAAGGAAAGGAAGGCTTGTTCTACTGCTGTTGAGTTCACCTTGAAGGGACCAGAAGTTAGAGCAGATGCCAAGAAATAAGAAATAATAAAAAAAGAAAAGAGAAAAAGAAATCTTCAGCCATCCTGGGGAGATCCCGTTCCCTTCTCTCAATATTTAATATTTTAGCTTTATTCAGGAAAAGAATTCCCATCTCATTCTAGGAAAGCACAACAACCAGGTATCCCAGCTGCCATGTGGCCTTCCCTGGGATGGTCAAGAAGAAGCTTTCTAGAAGATAGAAGGAGGCTGCTTCTATCTTGCTGCTTCTTTCTAGGATGCGTTTGCAGAACAAGCTGGTCTCACAGTGATATAACGCTGCTGCAGGAAGCACAAGGTGATCTGGCTGGTTTCTAGGAAGGGGCCACCTGACCTCCAGGTCTGTTTCTAAGCCCTGCCAGATATTGCTACACTAACGGCAGGATTGAGGGAAGTTGGGAGGCTCTTGGTCCCCAGTCCTGTCGAAGACAGCCCACCTGGTCCTCCCTAGGCTTCCACTATCAGTAGTTCTATCTCCCTTTGATGGCTCAAAAACCTAGGGACTCTGTTGCCTCACTTTGCTCCATTTCACCGTCCTTCTGACGTGGAAGCCTGTGAACTTACTGAGTTAGGCTGAAAAAGCAAAACAACAAACAAAGGCTTTGTACCTGCTAATATTGACGGCAGTAAGAGGCTAGCTTACTATCTGCACAGCACCATGTACAGCGCCTGTTATTCAGGCTGACTGTAGCCAACTTTTTCTTTGTCTTTTTTTTTCTTTTTTTTTTTATAAAGAAAATCTATGTAAGTTGAGGTTCAGAAATGCATATATTTTTTACTTACAAATATTCATCTGACCAAAATTCAACATAACTTTTATGGAACACTAAACAATTGTTTTGTTTTTAAAATAACATTTCATTCAAACTGTATATAATTCAGTAAAGTTTTTTATACAGCAAGCAATGCTTAAACCCTGGAAAATCTGTAGAAAAGAGATTTTCACACAAAATAAGAAAAGAAAAATCTGAGGTATCCCTCACCCACACAGCCATTCATTTTAACTCTCATGCATGTACACTCATGTTCACGTGTACACACACACACACACACACACACACACACACACACACATACACACACACACACACACCATTCTTGCTCACAAAGTGGCTGCAGCATAGGCAAAAAATTGTAGGTCTAAAAGAAAATGATTGATTGTTCTAATAAAGAGTCCAGGTAGCTCAGAAATAAAACAAAACAAAACACAATAATCCTCTGAGGAAATTACTACTTCAAAAAAAACGCTCTCAAGATGAATTTGAGATCTAAGCCTACTAAACTGCTTTGCAAAACAGCTCCCTGCAGTCCAAGGTGACGTGTGCAAATAGAAGGAGTCAAATGAGGCTAGCTCCTGTACTTCCTTAAACAAAGGTGTGGGGTGCTTGCAGGTGCCCGGGGTTCTCCCATCATGCCAGGTACTGCTGC